CCACTTTTCCATTGCTCCATTTCCACACATTGGCTGGCTTGAAATGTCCTGATGTCCAGAATCTTATTTTAGGTTCTGCAAAAAACACAATATTAATTGATTTGTCCCAAAGTTTTTTGAAAATGCACTGGTTTATAATTCGAATGATGAGAATCAATAATAGTTATTTATGCAACAAGTGCAAAAAGTAAGTATTTATTGCACGCGACTTGAAATTGTCGACAACACGTCGAGTGCAATAAAAACTTTTTGCACGAGTTGCATACAATATTTTTTCTACGTTCATGCAAAAACCAAAAAATGTTTTATAGAACTGCAGTTGTATTATCCAAATCATAGTAGCAGTAATCGTGTACTTTTGTTTGAGGCATTACGTTTGTGTTCATAATTTGTAATGACATTTTTAATTAAATACATTTCTTTATTTATTTATTAAATGATTGAAAATAATATAAAATATGCAATTGTTTTTAAAATGTAACACCGAAAATGAAAATGGACTAAATATTTGGCGTTGATTTAAATATTTATGTTTGTCCCGATCATAAAACGCTGTAGTAAAATGACAGATGAGTGCAATAAAATTTTTATTGCACTAGTGCAATAAAGAACCAGTTTTTTCACTAAATATAGTTCAATAAAGTTTTGTTTTTTGCATGAACGTAGAAAAAAACTATTTATTTATGTCAAAACAAAACGTTTTGACAACAATAATTATTAACGTAATAAAATTAAGTAGTAGAAAGAAACATTTTGATGGTTCACAAGGATTTAGTAGTAACATTTTGTTAATAAAATAAATTACTTTATAATAAAAGTTTCACCCGTTTACTTCAATATATTTTTGATATAAATATACATAAGAGGATTTGTATATTTTAACAAAGGATTATCCAGTCATTTTATAGCCTTTTAATAATACTGGATTCAGGTAAGTTTTTTAATTTCTTTTCTCTTCTACATCTCGACGACGCGATGTGTGAAATAATGTAAGCTTAATTTACCTTACTTTCTTTCGTTATTACCTAACAATATTTTTAAAATTATCACGTGTACTTGTAATATATTTGTTAGGTAAAGATTTATTATTTTAGCTATAATTTTAATTTTATATTGTTGCTATGTGTTGGTCATTGAGGGTATTTAATGCAGCCAAATTAACAGGAGGCACTATGTATTATAATTATTTTTAGATAATATAAATATTAGTTTCTTACAGGCATGTTTTAAGGTTAATATAAATTTTACTTTTATTTCTAACCTATCCTTTCACTTAACGTTTTCATTTTATTTTAATCTGTTTTCAAGATACAGGGTATTGATACACATTTTTTACGTTTTAGAAACTGTCATATCGCATAAATTTGTTTTTATATCTGCCTCTTATAGAGGGCGCTTGTTACACATTGTTCTTACCGATTTGTTTTAAACATAACTTTTTTGAGGTTAAATTTTCTATTCCAAATTTTATGTTAAGTCAAAACTTATTTAATTTTACATAAAAAAAAACTCTTGGTCAAACTCGATATTATGTACTGTTTTCTGAATATTATGATTTAAAACTGATGAAGTAATAACTAAGTAAGTATATTTAAAAAACAATTGCCTATTTATTAATAACCAAAAACAATAACATTATTCTAATGCTAATGTTAATAATTGAAAAAGAATCATAAGAAGAAAATTAAAATAAATTTGACTAAAACATGATTTATTCAATCAATTAGGGTAAGTGTTCAAAATATCTTCCGTTAAAAAAATTTAGTGTCCATCGCAAACCTCAAAATGGTTTTTTCTGAGTTAGCTGATAGTTAAGACGGTAATGTCAATTACATTGAATATTATTGATAAATAGGTTATTTAACAATCAAAATGTATTCAAATGTTGAATACACCGACAGTGTCAAATTGAGCCGTCAGTATATCGGTCAAAAGACCAGTAGGCACTCGTTTAAGCAGCGGCCATTCGTTCGGTAAGTGGGCCCTTGGTCAGGTAGCGAGCTCTTGAGAAGAACAAACAAAGAATTAAATGCATTAAACCCTCTAATACGTAAGAATACTTTTTTGTTCTTCATTGAAAGTAAGACCAAGAAAAACGTGGGCCCGTCTTCCTCCTGACTGGCAGGCTTTGCAGGTCCCAATTTGACACTCTACACGGACATGTCATTAACCATAGGCAAGTGTTTAGGAAACGCCAGTTCAGCAGTTACGCGTTATGCAGAAAAGTTTCCCAGAAGAAACATACCAAATAAAAAACGTTCAGAGCTGTGGAAAAAATTATAATAAAACTGGTAGGCCTTAAATAACAAGAACCATTCAGAAAGATAATATAATTTTATATTTAGTTGATGAAGATCCAACATTTAGCGTAAGGAATATAGCACGTCACACAAATACCTCTTCTGTAAGTACTTAAAAGATACTTAAAGAGCAGCAGCTACATTCTTATTACTAAAGATAAGTCTAAGGGCTCTTGCCAAACGATCTATCGGATAGAGTGGATTTTTGTGAAATGTTATAAGAAAGGACAGCCCTCAATCCCAGTTTTTTAAAACTTCTCGTTTTCACCGACTACTTGACTACTGGTGTGACAAGAATCCACATTTTAAAAGGGTATAAATTACCAACACTTGTTTGGGCAACAACTTTAGGTAAAAATTAATTGGTTATGACATTTCATCTGGAAATCTGAATGGCAATATGTACCTCGAGTTTTTAAAAAAAGCGAGCGAAGCCCTCTATTTTTGTCCATGTTGGAGCTCTCTTGCACCTTGATAGAAGGTGTCGTAATTGGTTAAGTATGGGGTAAAATAATAGTTTGAAGTACTTTAGTATATTTTTTAGCCTCCTAATATACAATCGCACATTTTCACGGAAATACGCAATTACGCATTGTTTAATAAAAGTGAGTACAGCGGTAGCACGAAGAGTTTCACGTGATTTATAATATGTAATATGCGTAAAAACTAAAGTGTAAATTTACCTCACCATGCATTACGCCTTTTCTTATTATTTCAATTCCGTAATGTACAGACATAAACACTAAAATAATCGATGACAGAACACCTGATATAAATATTTTTGGGGTATCTCAAATAGAGATCCATCCTGCCTCTATTAGGCTTTGATTTACGTAGCAGAAAGGAAAATATCATTGTTTTAGGCCCTTGCTTTTGAGGTACTGCATCTATGCTCTTTTGCTTTGTCGATCGACAAATCATTAGTATCAATCACAGTCCTAAGGATACGTTATCCTCAAACAAAATTTCACCCTACTTATTCTAACCTAAAACATAAGGGTGTGGACATAGAAAAACTAAAACAGAAGGTTTGAATAATAGGCGGGAATTGTTTCCTTGTTTGTAGTTTATCATATCGCGCTTCACGAGCTGCGAGCACTAAATAAAAGCCGTTTTTACACCCATATAATAATTAAAAAAATTAACAAATTTTAAAGAAATCAATAATTTTACTAATGCAATCTTTTAAATATCACTTTAATACAATATTTGATCAATTACAGGGATAATTGTTATAAATTTATAAAGTTAAAGCTAAATTTGAATATTATAAGTTGATGTAAATCTGGCTTTGCTAATAAATTAGGTTATGTTACACTAAAACATGACAGTCGCGGAAAATGTAGGTGAGTAAAATTTGATTAATCTTATTTTACCAGCACTTTGCCTACTAAGCTCATTAAATTTGCCTTGCCTTTGGCTTTGAAAACATCTGTTTTAAATAGTTTAATAACACCTAAAAATTACAGCACCAATTGTGAGGCAGATGATAGTAGTTTGTTGACAATTTAAATTCATTTTTAACTTTTAGTGATGAACGGCAACCACTACTGTCTGGCCAAGAAAATGAATTGGCTAGCCTTAAAATTAAATAATTCAGTGTCAATTCACTTCATAATACTGACTTTGATATTCAGGCTATCACTTATGTAGCTGGATTTGTAGTAAAAAAATGAATGGAATTCATTGCGAAGTGCGTTCGGGCAATTTAAGAACAGATATTGTAGAACCTCATCATAGTTTTACACATTTAAAGGAATATGATGCAAAAAGACGTTTGATTTATGCGCTAAAAGCAATTGTTCAATTTTTGGGTACTATTCATGATTGTATTTATCAAATTCTACCCAAATATGGACATAAAGAACGCATTGTTCAAAAACTAATTTTATATTTACACGAACATGTTAATTTTGCATAGTTCACTTGCCGAGAGCATAAATCAGATGTTTTTTTGAAATTATTTAAAATCTGTGTACCTAATTTTCATTATAAGAAAATATAAGGATATTTCTAAGAATTTAAAAAAGTAATATCTCTGTTAATTTTTAATTTTAAGATACACACTGCGCCTTTATTTTTTGTTTGGTTTAGTTATTCCTAAGTATGGAGTTTTTTGAAATGGATATTGCAACTACAATGGATTGAAATAGAAGGGTAAAAGGATAGTTAAGTGGTTCAGTGCCAGAGTTGCCTAACCAACAAAATTTCAAAACAACTAGTCTTTGTATATTGTTTTAAAATCATTTCTATACATGCGTGAATATGATGTGGATATGTACAAATAAAACCAATTATCCTCAATATTCATGATTTCTACCCGCTGCTGTACATATTCACTTTTTCCAGAAAAATCGATAAACAAAACTACCCACTTCTTAAGGCTATTCAATTTTGTTTTACAAAGAACGACAGAAAACATTTTTTATCGCAATTTAACTTTACAGTATACCCAGATTTTATTATAATAAATAATAAATATTGAATTTGGCTATCTACATCCGCATCCGGTTGTCGGATTTCAAGCCTCTTAAATCATTTACCCTATCTTTCAAATATCATATGGGCAATACTGAATCTGAATGTTATGACATTAAATTGCCACAAAACAGAACCGTTGGTTTTCTTTATTTACTAGGTATATTTCTTTGTGCCAATATCCAGACTTCAAGTCTAAAATAGAAAATAATTTACTTCCGGCCAATGTGTCCAAGGTATCATCAATTCAAAGCAGAAATTAACAGTCATTCTTGGTCACATTGTTCAAATGACGGTAGTCTAAACAAAACCTTCATGTTTTTTCTTGACCAGGATTACCGGAGAGACCAATGGGGTGGTAGAAGATTCTATCGCCCTACATTTCTTTATTTCAGAAACAAACCTTCCACATTCCATTCTCTTTGCTTTTAGTAATCTTTTAACTGGTTGACTAATCGGTCTGGCTTTACCAGAATAAATTTTATGATTTTCAGCAGAACTTCTTTCTGTTTTATCGTTCTTTTGTACAAAAGTTTTATAGAAATTAAAAAAAATTATTTATTGATAAATAAGGCAAATTAAATGTCTTTAGTTGAGAAGAAAATAATGTCTTTCGTATAGAAGAAAGTAAAGAAGGTGGAGAAAAATAGTGGAAATAGAAAAAATAAAAAGGCAAGTTGTGAATAATGCAAAAGAAGTTAAGAATCCTAAAATAAATTGAAATAAGCAAGAGTCACAGCTGCAATTAGAAGAAATTGTAAGTTTTGCTATATATGTTATTAAAAGTTATTTAGACCATTTTTATTTTTTAATAATATAGTGGCTTTAAGAATTGGCTTCGGCTCCAAGCAGACCTACTTTGAACTTCGTCTCCAAGTCGTGATTACTACCGGACACAGGTTCAAGTGCGGCTCCAAATCGAAAAACCAAATAGATATATCTACAAATAGGCAATAATATTTTTTAGTTGGTAATGTATTTTTAAAGTAGCAACATATCATCAATTGGAACTAAGTGCTAAGAATATCTGTAGTAATTAGGTTTCAGTCCCCTAGAATACCCTGTACCTTGCTTGCTGAATATCTATAAAATCGGAAAACAAGAAATCGTACCTCGTTAAACATTTTTTAATTTTATTTCTTATATGTATCTATATTAAGATTTGACTTTTGACTTACATTTTCCACTCCCTTTCAGAATATTTTATAAAAGCAGATACACTTAAATAACCATAAAATTTATGTTGTTTCCCCAATTTTACGAAAACTTGGTAGCACTTATCTTTATTTTAAATTATGTCTTGGGTATATTATTTATTTTTTGTCCTAAAGTATCAAAGCACCATTTAATAGACAGAAAAATCTCACAATAAACTTACCTGCGACAATAGCTTCATATAAATCCTGATTTTTTTCATTGCTTTCTATACTAACCAATCTCATACACATGGATCGGCACACCTGGAGAGCTTTAGAATTGGTAATCTAAAATTAAATTTTAGTTTAATTATGTAATAATTCAATTGATCTATATTTTTAGTCATTTTGGTTTTGTATTTCTAAAAATGGAAGGCCACAAAACTAATTTAAACCCATTGCATTTCCCTAAGCTTATCAACATCAGTCCTGTCATTTTTTTTGCTTTGGATATTGTTTTTTAACCATACATAGTTTAATTGAGTAGTCAACAGTACACCTACTTAATTTGAAATAACTATTTATTTAGATAAATTCTATAATTAAATTGTATATCTTCTATATCCTTCAGTTGCCAGTAAAACTTCAAATCTGGTTTGAAATTTAGCCGTTTTAGTTTTTTAATAAAATTTGTTATTTTTGTATTTGGTTTGCAACTAAAAAAAAAAGGTAATTCAAATCAGCAGTATCAAAGAGATTCTATTATATCTATCTTAGGCAAATGGGCTGGGAAACATCAATAGTTTTTAAGTCGTTTAATGTTAAATGAGAGATAAATATATGGGGATACAGTGTTAGTTAATCCTTACAGATTAGAAAATAGGGGTTAGTAGAGTTTCTGGATATCTCTGACCATTTTTCCTTTCTTTTTTAATTACATTTTGGTAATAATAATTTCACATACTTTTCAGCCATAGGTATTCGTAGCCTAATTTTTTAAAGTGAATTAAATATTCTTAAAATAAATAAAATATTATTTAAATTAAATAAAATATTCTTTAAATTAAAATATTTCGAAAAGTAAACAAATTTGTAGCTTTTTCATTACGAATGTACTTAAAAAAGTGCCACTCTTTAATAATCATTTATAATATGTACAGGATGATATTGAAAATTTTGACTTAAAAACAGCTTGGAACGAAATGGGAAACTAATTTATTATTTATGTTATCTATTGTTAAAAATAACAAATTTTTATTTTAATAGGGAAATATAAATAGCAGAATAAAGAGCAGAAGGGCATTTAGTCCAAATTTTGGATTTCTCGCTTTTTTAGTTAAATTACTCAAAATTTTGCGCTCAATAAGCTGATAAAAGTTCAAAGCCCTTGGACTAAAGGCTTCTTAAAAAGCATTTTATAAATGATAATAAGTACACATAGTTATGAGAGCAGAAGAATATTAACTAAAATTAACATGTTCTAAGTCCACAAGATCACTGCAAAACCGTCTTAAGTCGCTGAAATAGTATTATGTTCACATGCTACATTAAAGAAACAAGTAATAAGTCCACTTCTACTTATTTTAAGATGCAAGCTGATATTCTTAAGTTGAATCCAACGTTGAATTTAAAATTGCAAGAAAACAGAGAAAGGTAAAAAAAAATATTTCACAAGTTTATAATACAAGTCAGGCAGGACTATATAGATGTTTTGTATTTTGAAACAAATTTTCAACAGGAATTTTATAGTATAGATTTTAACAGAAGAGAAGGACGACAGAGTGGATGCCTAAAATATTTTACCATTTATATCAGAACTTGTCCCACGGTCCCTAAAAATCAGCTTAAGATGATGAGAAAGACTAATGCCTAAAATTTCCCATTACCTAAATCACTTGATGAGTTTTGTTTTTTTTTTTTATTAATTAATTTTACAAAAACTTGCCTTATTATTTTGTTTTTCATTATTATTTGTACAAAATGTAGTATACGTTTTTTCATTTGTACCACTAAATAGTTGGTATTATGTAACATTTTTCTATATTTTCTTTTATGCATAAAGCACCCTTTTGTTGGCACCTTCCCCTATGATTGGCACCTTACCCTTCTTACATCAATACTTAGTTCAAATTCAAGTTATCAATATTTATTTCTTATTACTCTCTATTGTAATCCCAGGTGGGTATTTTAGTTGCAATTATGTTGAAGAAGGTATACACGAGCAAACTTCAAAAGGCGAAGAGATAAAAATTAGTACTTTCATTAAGAAGAGGTCCAAAGTCTGGAATTTTTATAAATTGAGACATAATTTTTTTCTTTTTTTATGTGGGTTTTGATAATTATAAGTCCGTTTTTTAATCATTTCCAATTAAATAAATCACTTAAAAAAACAAATAATATGGTACCAACTATAGGGACTAAAAATTCTTATTTTCCAATGATTTACATGGATGCCAAACATTAAGATAGTTTAATTACTATTATTGCATCCTGTGTTTGGTATGCATATTTTCTGTGAAAAAAAAAATAATGAGTTAGGTACCTTTGCGTAATTTTAACATATCTAGAGCCACACTACCATTTAGAATGTCCAATAAATTTAGAAAAATTCATCCTGGTCCATCAAGTAAAAAAGATGAAGCGATTATAGTCTGATTTAGTTCATTTAAAAGCAATCTACCATATAATCATTTGTACCAAGGATTTTTACAAAGACACAATTTGACAGTAAGTTCATCAGAATCAGTAATCCAGACTAGTGCCAATATTTCAGAAAATTATTTGAGAAAATGATTTAGTAAAATTGAATCCTATTAGTTGAAATGGGCTACAGCAGAATTAGTAATTATCCAAACAGGATATATAATGGAGACAAAACGTGTTTCTTACTAAGTCCTTAACACAAAAGTTGTTACAGAAAAGGAAACTAGAGGTAGATATATAGCAGCATCAAAATCTAACTTAACAGTTGTGTTAACTTTATCTGCAGTTGGCGAGATCAGTCCACCGACAATTGTATATCCTTATAAAAGAATGCCTAGAAGCATTAGTATTTCTGTACCAGAAGAATGGAGATTGGATTAAGTGACAATGAATGATGAATATGTAAGCACTATACTTCATTAAAATATAGTTAAGAATGGGATACAATTACCAAATATTTCTATTTGTTGATAAACACAAAACTCACTTAACTTTTAACCCTAGCGGACTACGTAGAAGGTTAAATATGATACTTGTGGCATTTTATCCAAATTCCACAAGAATGGTTCATCCCAAAAATGTTTGAGTTTTCAAACCTATTAAAAATGGACGAAAACGTTCAGATTTAGAATGAAGAAAAAAAAAATCAAGATTCGGATCTAAAAAAAATAAAATTTTACTCCAATTTTGAAAACTTAATTATATAAAGGCACAAAATATAGTCAGTCCATTTAAGGCAACAGGACTTTATCCACTCATGGCAAATTCAATAGACTTTTTTAAATGTCTCAATCAACTTAAGACTGCTATAGAAAAGCCATTAGACGCACAAGATATTTATTCACAAAAGAACAATTTCATTACCTACAACATTCATCTCAAGGGATCGTAGGAAAGGACTATATAACAAAATTTGAACAATTGGAGAGAAAATGTGATCAATCTGAGGAACACAATTATGATTTCTACCTTCTTTATAAAATATGGCTTACATTTTCTCTGCGATATATAATGATGTCTGAAGTGAATCAGAATTTGTCTGGAGAAGGCAATAAAGAAAATAACTTTATTCTTTACCATATGGTAATACAACCAAACACCAAGATAAAAGAGGACAACCTTTTAACATTGGATTTAAAAGATGTCTCTGTTAGGTATGATATTAAAAAAATATTGGTCGTGATTCAATAACGTTTTACCTAGATGATAAACCTGTAGTTACATATAAGGAAATGTTGAATTTCCTAAATCCAATATAGTAGCAGATTAAGAATTTGAACCTAATGATCCTGCACCAGAAGTAGAAGTAGAAGAAAGTTTGTATGTACGAAATAGTTTTCACAAAGGTTTAGATCAAGAAAATCTAGTAGCCACTGCATAATGTTTTATTTGCACAAAGAAATATAACAGAGTACATTAAGTGAAGAGTACAGGGGAAAAAAGATGAGGGTCCAGCAAATTCAATTCTGAGTATTTGTTATTTTTATTTAGGAAGACTACTGTAGAACATGGTATACAAAAATAGTATTGTAGAATATCATTATCGCCAACTTAAAATAAAATCCTTTTTGACAGAATATACAAAAAATTATAAATACAAAAGTACAAAAAAAACTTTGAATCCAATACAAAAATACCTAGCAAAAAAATGAAGGTCCATGACTTACAAAAATTGTAATCTTAACAATGTGGTATTGCTGTAAAAAAAAACCTGTGCTTTTTGAGAACAGAATCTTTTTAGATGCTGTAGGTCTTTAAATTTGACTTCAATTGGCCCATCATAAGCTAAAGTTGGAAGCAGGAAACACTTTTCAGGCAACGAAAGTCTCTTTCTTTTTTGTTTTATGACATTTTTAATTTCTCGATTATTATAACTGTCCCTGTGTATCATCATACGAGGGTGATTTTCAGTTACAGTTAATTCTCAGACTAGTCTTGTAGGAAAAGGACACTTGGTCATATAGATATCTGCTAGAAATTTTGTCCAACTCTTGAAAATTGATTGATCTTTACAAGAAATAACTTTAAAATGGCTTGGTTTTATTCGGGAATCCCTTAAAACTGCATTCCATTCTTGAGGGAGTTCAACATACGTTTTCTGTTTCAATAAATCCATATTTCTATCGCATTTAAGATACAAATGTCCGCGAATAGGAAAAACCACTTTGATTTTCTTAAGTCTTTTTACAAAATGAACAATATAATGTAACATTCTCAACACCGTAAAGTTTCTGTTTTGTCCACAGCATGAATCACAAAATATTGTAAGCTTCTTCACATCAAAATCCAGATAATTCAAAATATAATCCCATATTAGTGAAGCAACATCATCAGCATCCTTTTTTCCTGCAACTTCAGTATGTATAAGTGTAGAAAAGAACTTCAGAAGTCGAAAGGACATGTATGTTTAACATGTAGAAGGTAAGTTGTCTACGATAATACGTATCATTTGTTGTAATATTCAACAAATGAAGATGTTTTGAAAATCTATTACAATAGCTTCCTTGGTTTTGTATTTTTGAGCCTCGAGTCTAGCCGCTTTTTAACGCTTGTAAAAGGTGTCAGTTCTTTTTAAATGTACTTTTTTTTTTAACTTGCAAGCTTCGTAGTTCTGTGTGTAACTGCAATGCATTTTGATCATCATCTGCATTTTGATTTATTTTTCTTTCAATGTCGTCAATTTTTACCTTCAATCCATCGCACGTACTATACGTACCGCATCGTGGGTACCCAAAAGCAATATTAAATTTGGTGTTGAATAATTTTCTATATTTTTCATAAGAAACTAATTTAGCAGGATATTTTTCTTTGTACATACGGTACATTTTCTTAATATTGAGCTTAGCAGGTAAGTAAACATTTATTGTTTTAGCCAGGCCATAGTGAGACTTCCTACTCTAAAAAGATCTAATGTGATTCATGACTGAATCTGTTTCTTCTCTGGAAAGTCAGCTAGGTCTGGAAGAGTGCTTTTCTCGCATATCTAATGGCGCTGAACTCTTTGATTTCAATCCGCTTTGTATAGTTTTTAGTCTTTTTGCAGTTATTCCATGTATGGCTAAAAAAGCTTTATAACACACTGGAGTTTCACAAAGTTCGTTGTTTCTTAAGAATCTCACCTTATAAGTATGTATACGTAAACAAATGAAAGTCAGCTTCTTCTTCAAACTTCCTGGGACGATGGTGTGTTACAGGTTTGCACGTTATTAACCCGCTTAGATAAAGGGATTGTTTATGACTTTGCAGTTGATTAAACTTAGACGCGATCGTGCTTAAATCGGCTGCAGTGAAATTTCAAAAACATTTAAGTTTTGAGAATTTGTAGTCTTGTCCAGTTTGATGACTACTTAACCGTAAATTTTCAGTACATTTCAAAAAGGAAAAACTTGTATTTCGTGCAAAACTTTTTTATTAATCAATGCAAAGCGCTTTCGGCTTATTTGCCATCATCAGTGCTCATTGTCCACAACGTATCCAGGAACTTGTTGGATACGTTGTGGACAATGAGCACTGATGATGGCAAATAAGCCGAAAGCGCTTTGCATTGATTAATAAAAAAGTTTTGCACGAAATACAAGTTTTTCCTTTTTGAATCTAAACTACGTGCACACAGCTGTCAACCTTTTTTGGTTTTTTTTAATTCAGTACATTTGTCCATAGGATTTTATTTTTCTTGTTATTTGTTGCTCTGCCATTATTCAACAATAAAAAATAAACCACAAAACTTTAAGAACAGAATAATCAATAATCGCACCATTAAAATTAAACGAAATTAAAAACACGTCAGTAACTAGGCAGCGAACTAAATGAACGGTTGTTTACGATTGTTAGTTGGTGCAACAGCGCGCCGTTACCATTTATGGACTGACATCTTTCTTGCTCACAACCTCTGGCACCCTTATCTTTTTTTGCTTACCACTATAATTATTAAATCGTGTTTATTGTTGTACTACCATCTTTTTAGCCGTTTCTAATAGGTAGATAGTATTTAATAACCGATATATTATACGAATTCAGTGTTAGTCTTATTTCGGCAATAAATAGACTCTTATCTTTTTTTCCCTATACTCTTTAAATTTAATGGTCCCCAAAATCGTTAAGCTTGTTTAGAAAAGCACAATTCCAATTTTGATTTATTATATTTATTATCAATACATATTTTCTCTTTTCGTAGGTACCTACCTATTATTTTTTTCACGAACCATGCTAAATATAGTAAAATAATATCAATAATAGGTATTTCGCATTTATTAATTTTTAACTCTAAAGTCTGATGACAGATGCCAATCATTGGGCAGTTTACTTTTATACCATTAATAAAAATTAAACAAAAAAAGCTAAATAAAATTTGGGATCATTAAGTGTGTGACGAAGTCACTAAATTTTGTTCTCAATTAATTTAAAAATGTATATTTCAATTAATTCCCGCCTGAGGACATGTAGAAGTTCCCTTGTAATTCTGTTTCCCAGGAATTACCGTTTTTCAACAATTGCGAGTACCCTCGTAGATTGAAATATTCCTATATTTGCCGAAATCCGAATGGGCATTTTGTAGAGTCGATTTCGTATGAATTATCTACTTTTATTTGTCAAGGTACTAGAAGGACACTTTTTTTGTTTTTAAATTGTAAACAGTCGGCTGTAGTAGTAATACCCCCACTAGGCTTTACCGAAAAGCATAAATTAAATGGCATCTGGGAATTACGCCCTTCTTGCTTGCCGGCTCTTCCTCTTGATTGCCGACAGCCGAAAACTATTAGCCCTTAGATAGTGCTCAGTGAGTGCCGTGATTTCGAAAAAGTTAATTCATTAACCTCGTTTATCTGCTAAGATAGGAACCGTATATTATTTTTTATATTGACCTTCATATAATTAGTTGGGACACCCGTGCGACAAGTGAAAAACTTTGATTCATATCCAGGATATTTCATTTCCCTCAGTGGGAAACCGTTGGCAATTTTTATTTGAGGCTGGACATAGGCTAGACTCTGAGTGCTCTCTTTGTCATATACTATATCCAATTTCTCTTATAAACCGTCCAGTTAACATCGAAGTGAGAGATTCAACCTGTTATCAATTTTTTTTTATTATTTTATTGTTTTATTTTCTTTTCCGAAGGTTCGATCCGTTCCCGAGTTAGATTACTCTCTCTCTCTCCTGATGACGTTATCTAATTTCCCAAAAAGACGTTTAAATTAATTTTCGCGCCTCACTTCGTGTAAAATTTCTTTTCTTTTCATTTTTTATTCAGCTGTATTTGAATCATTCCACAATTAGTTATTGAATGAAGCCAGACGACTTCTGTAAAATTAAATTCACACACGCTCTCAATCGACTCTGGACAAAATTCAAAATATTATTTTCTACGATCGTCGTGTCCGCCGTCCACAACACCGCGTAAATAACCATATTTATCACTTGATGAAAATTTTCGCTTCCCATCGCTCAGAGTTGAGGTTTTCCTTTCCTGAACGTAAATTGAAAGTGGGTTAATGGTGATAACAACAAACTTTATTTTTATTAAATTTTACGCATACCGGGAGAGTCGTAACTACCCGTTTTTCTTTCATTTTTATGAGCTTCCCAGTTGGTAGCCGTTTGTTAAAAACCAAAATTTTAATTAATCCGTTTTAATTAATTATCGATTTGTTTGTTTTACTATTTTGAGCAGAATATTTATTTTAATTTTGGGATTTTGAAAAAAAAAAATACCTTCCATTTATCGGGTGTACATAATTTCCCATTTTTATAGTTTTTAATTGTAGTAATTTATTTTCAATGAATTTTCCGTATACTGGGCGTTTCACGATTTCCCGACCGATTAGTCTCCTGTGCAAATGAACCATAAATATTTCCCTATTTTTAAATAATTTTCAATAATTTATTTTTCATAAATTTTCCGGATATAAGGATCGGTCAATATTAAAATAATTTCCAATTGTAATAGTTTATTTTCATAAATTTTCCGGATATAGGGACCCATCAATATTTAAATAATTTTCAATTGCAATAATTTATTTTTCATAAATTTTCCAGATATAGGGATCCGTCAATATTTAAATAGTTTTCAGTTCTAATAATTTATTTTTAGTAAATTTTCCGAACATAGGGTGCCACTAATATTTAATTAGTTTTCAAGTGTAATAATTTATTGTTAATAAGATTTTCCGAATACAGGGAGCCGTTCATATTTAATTACCGTTGTATTATTTTTTTTGTAAATATATATTTTATTAGCTATCCTGTGTTTCTCTTATTACTGGTTTTCAACCGTTCCCTTTTAGGGTACCGTGAAATACGAGGTGTATAGGAGATAAGTGTTTTATTTTTATTTATCCTAGTATAGTGGCTACCTAGCAGTGACCACATGGAATTATTTTTTACATCCACTGAGTTCACCTTGAGTACACTCTGATGTACTACAGGGTGGCAGAGCAAACTGCGATACCAAAACTGGCGCCTGAGCAACCCCTATTCGAAAATCACCTTCACAATGTCACACAGACTCGCTGATTCACTGTACGTGAACCAGAAGCCTATCACAAGTGATGGTGTCATACCACATTCCTTCCTTAAAATTTTCGTCCTGTTGGACAAGAAAAACAAATAGAAATAAACGTTTTTCACTGTCCTGTAATATATTGAATTTGTGACTTAATATTCTTCTGCTCTGAGGTATAGATAGATATTTCGAAAAAATTTAATTGTAAACAAATGTAGCATTAAGAGATTTATTTAGTTAACAACTTCGAGTTTGTATATCACAGCAAATTTTTTGGATTTTGGACCGCAACATTTAATAAATAGATTTGTATTTAACAAGTGTATTCGATAATCTAATAAATAGTTAAATGTTCTTCTTTTAGTTACCTATTTGTTGGCTAGGTCCTAGCGTTATTGTATTATTTTGTTTATAATATGGATAGTGACGGTTAGAATTATTAAACAAAAATATTAACAAGAAAAAACTTACAGTTTCTCTACCAATATAATATTTTTTATTTTGTAGTGTATTTCCATGTACCAAATCTTCACTGTAATCTTCACATTTTGGATTAGTCACTTCTTTCTTTAATTTTTCACATATAAAACGAAGTGCTTGATCACAATTTTGCATGTTCCAAACTAGTTCATTTAATGTTTTACTAACTTCTATGCAACGATTTGAATAAGAACTACTTTTTAAATTGTCGTAATCAAAACATTCTCCTTTTAGCCATCCTAATCTTCCTGATTCAGAGAACCTCAGTCCAGATGACCAGAATGATTCGTTAATGCTACCTAAAAGTCTTGAAGTTAATATCTTTTTTTTATTTTTAGCTAGTACTAATAAGCAAATGATTTTCACATTACCATTTGTTTCTGAACAGATATAAAAAGTGATCCAAAAATAATATTTTTAAAATTGGCTCTAGAAATATTCACATAATATGTCTATCCAAGGTAGAAATAGGAAGAAAACTAAATCACGTGGTTAAAAGTGTCTTTTATGACAGTTTATTTTGTGATGTATTATTTAATATTTTTATATTATTTATATACTTTTATTTTAATTATTTGTAATAAAAAATGGTAAAATAAAAAAGGTTTAATCATTTGAAATTATTAACTCTACTTTTTTCTTTCGAATGTCTTATATTGTTGAAAGAATGAAAATAAAATTTGGCACTTACCATTTAAGAATTTAAATATTTTTTTGTTCTTGTCGTACGTCTCGATGCTAACCAATTGCATATCCTTTTCATGGCACATTTGTACAGCATCATAATAGCTTACCTAGAAATTGTATATAAATATTACTTATATCATAAAGGTAATATATAAAAAAGCATCCAAGAAAATATAGAAACTAACACGCTTGATGCCTAGGATCGGAGGCCCAAACAGTAGTAAGAGAGCAGTGCTATGTGGAGTAGCTCATTCAGTGCTACTATATGGTGCACCCATATGGGCAGACGCACTGAAAATAAAGAAAAAATGTATACTACCAGAGAGGACGCAACGTCAGGCTCTGATTAGAGTGGCAGCTGCATTTAAAACGGTTTCTTTAACGGCATTGCAGGTTGTTACTGGAATTTCACCAATAGAATTATTTGTAGAAGAGAGAAAGGAGATGTATGGAAAAGAACAAGACGAGAGAGCTACAGACATAAAAAAAGGACCATTGAAAAATGGCAAAAAAGGTGAAATGAGAATACTGATACTAATAAATAAATAATACTAATATAAATATATAATATAAATAAATAATACTAATAAATAAATACCTAATATGCGAGCACCAAAATGTTGACTACTACATTACACATACTATATTATTAGAACACAGCATATTCAGAACGTATGCAAAATTATTTAAAAAGGACGAAACAGATGAATGCGCGTACTCCGGCCAGCTAGATACACCTGAACATATAATATTTGTATGTAAAAAGTGTAGAGAGGTGAGGTAACCCGAAAGGAATGAAGTAGGTGCAGACATAACACAAGATAATTTAATTAAGCAAATGATGCACACAAAGGAAAATTGGAAAGTAATAAAAACATGCTTAGATAAATATGTAATACTGAAGAAGAAGCAGAGATGGTCAGAAAATGAAAATACTCGTGGCCTTCATGTTGGAGATGTCAAGATTGACGGTACCGTGAAGTGCTGTCAGGAGAAATACAAATGGTAGTTTTTAGCGGGTAGACCAGCTCTACCGCTGCCAAGCAGACAATATCACACTACCATGGGGCTGACAATACCTCATAGTGTATAGTAAATTGAATATTAAAATAATTTGGAGATTTGTGAATCAACCGTTGAGCCACATGTTTTGTTAAATTTCTTCACTTTAAGCTTCAATACCTGCTCGTGTTCGATGTAAAAAAACTTTAATGTTATTTAATGGTTTTCAATCGGAATTACTAGATGAGTACATACGTATTTATTTGATTATTTCTAACGGATACCGTTGTTTTTATTGCTAATATTTATTATACCGAGTTAGAGCTTTTATAGTATTGATTAAATTTTAGGGTTACTTTGTTATGACCTAGTACTTATTATTTTATTTAAATTTGTAAGGTTTTTCGTTCCTATCTCCAAATCCGTCACTAAAAGTTTTCGAAAATCTTTCCTTGGTTGGCAACATTTAAAACATTAGGACAGTCCCAACACTCATTTTGCACCTCGGCCAAGTAATTTTGGAGTTTGGAACACATAACATACAAAGACAAGTAATCAATTTTATGACTATAAAAACAGGGACTGGTTAAAATTACGCAAAATTTGATACCAAAAAGTAGCAATAAATGATAAAATAGTCAGCGTAAAATCACTTAAACCAGATAATTACAAAAGCAAATTAAAGAGCCAAAAAACAATCTCATAAAATAAAAAACTTAAAAAAAACTGCAATATTAAATTAAGGAACTCATAAAAAACAAAGAGTAAGATAAGGAAAAGAAGATGGCAAAGCAATAGACGAGATCGAGACAGAATCAGACTATTAGATATTGCTAAGATAAACAACAAAACAAAGAACACAGAAACGAAAAATAGCAAACCAAACTCCCAAAAAGGGAAGGCACTGGTCGAATTCTTCTATAAAATATTTGATAGCGAGACAAAAACAATGAGCGTCAACAAAAAATTAAAAATGGGGCGAAATAATTCAAACAAATGCCAATACAAAACTTTCTTGCCAACCAAACCTTAAAATAATATAAACAGCAATCAAGAGCCTAAAAAATCAATAGCATTATAATAAAAAATTTCACAAAAACGGCATATGTTTAACTTAGCTATATTATTAATTTAATAATATTCAAAAAAATCTTAAAGTTACAAACATACCTATTATCAATAAAAAAAAAATTAGGTAAAAATGGTAAATACGTATAGGGCTACGGACCTATTTCTCTAATAAGCTCAATATCAGAAATTGTAGAAGAAGTATTTATGACCACAGTTTATTATTTTAAAATAAATGATTTTTATGACCCAGGAGATAAACCCCAATATAATATCATAAATCAATGACGGAGAAGTTGTAAATTATTTCAGTTAAGATTTACATTTCTGTTTGTATAGTACTGTGATTGTAACACGCAGAATTGTTAGTTCTGTAATAATAGGCAATAAAATGCGATATTGATCAAGTAAATTTATAACGAAAGCATTATTAATGTTATAACAATTAACAAATTAAATAAAAACAAAACTTAAAATAGGAAGTAATAGAAGCTAGAAATAAAAGAAATAATTTCGTATTACACTTAGATAGCGGATTATCGTTCGAATCACACATAAAAGACAAGGTAGCAAGGACAACGCGAATAATAAAAAGGATTTTAACTAATGCTTTACAGAAATAACAAATAAAATGTTATAAAATTAGGTAATAATATCAACGCTCACATTTGAATGTTTAATCATTTGCTTAATGGCTAATAAGCAATACAAAAAATTACAAGTAACACAAAATAGGTGTCTCAGGCTGTTTCTTGGATGGGACCGCAGATCAAGAATACTGGACATGGACGGGGACACACCAATCCTTCCTATAAAAGATTTTTCCCTGGCAACAGCAGATAGATTTTTCAAATAGAGCAATGATTAGTGTCATTGTACTTTATAAACTAATGTCTGATACTTTGAAATAAGGGAGATAAATCAATTTAAACGGAAAATGGAATAATTCGTTTTTCAGTCCTAACTTTCAACCGGAGCAAACTATCAACTCCACATTTTTTAGAGAAATTAATTTTTTGTTATTTTATTTAGTGGTAAAACAAAAGAAAAAACCATTATTAGAGAGGTAGTTTAAAGGAATGGAATATTATCAGGTAATACAAACAGACTCATATTTCTTCAATAAAATTATTTTTACTGATTAGGCCACCGAGTTAAATGTCATTTACAAAGAATGTTGCAATTTTTAACGTTAACTGACATGGGCGCAGAAAAAAATTAAAATTACACGACAATTGTTTCGAAGTACATCTTTGTCTTAAAATTTTAAATTTTTGTTTTTTAAATAAAATTGTTTGTGAATATCTACCATGTTTGGATTTTTTCCTTTCAATAATATAAATTTTCTTCAAGTAAAGTCCGAAACTATCAGTAATCCCATTTTTATGCTGAAGAAAACCTATCAACATACATTTAAAGTTATTGTTTTGGCAACGACAATGAGAATTAGATTTCTTGAATTTTTTATTTTTCCGGACAATGTATATAGGGCGTCCCTATATCAAACGGTCATGTTTTAACATCGTAATCTACATCCTAAAATAGGAGTAAAAGTTTATATAAACATAGGTCCAAAAACGTTTTGTTTCCGAGATATGGGGTGTTAAAAGTGAAGTCCTGATTACACATTTTTGTAAATATTTTTTAAACTTTTAAATATAACTATGTAAAATTTAATACAAATGCTAGACTTTATACTCTCTATTTAATGGACTAAACGCCAATTTTTAATTATCTTCATTATGTTGGTAAATTAGGAGAAGGCTTAGGGTTAAATTTTCCTAAGTTTTTCTGTTGACTGTTTGTAATATTTTTGACTACAAAATTTCGAAAACCAATATTTTCTTTATAATAAAGCTACTCGCTAGGACGCCTCATTTTCAAGTAAAAAGCATTTGAAAATTTCATGATAAGTTGATATATCATTCGAAAGTTTAAACAATTTAGTAGGCCTGTGGAATCAGAAATTTTATTTTGTTTTAAGCTGTGACTAAAGCAATTTTAGAAAATATTTACAAAAATGTGCCATCAGGACTTCACATGTAACACCCTGTATCTCGAAAACATTTTCGGACCTATGTTTACATGAACTTTTACTTCTATTTTAGAATGTAGATAACGCTGTTAAAATATGCACAGAAAAAAATGTGACTAGAAAATTTTACTACAATGTTGTAGTAGTAGACTTGTAGAAAAAAACTTTACTTTTTGTAGAAAATTTTACTATAATTTATAGTTAAAAACTATTTATTATTATAGCAATTGAATTGTCGAATAAAATATTACAACAATAGAAATGAAGACCACAATGCTTAGTATATTTTACTATTGTTTGTAGAAGTAGAAATTTATTACAATTATTGTAAATATTACTATTAACTTCTGTTAAAATTTGTACAAATATTAATAATTATCTCTACAAAAAAGGGTAATTTTCTTAACAAAAAATAGTAATATTTTACATCCCTTCTTATGAAAAAAAATCAATTTTGTTGAAAAATATTCTATAATATTGTAAAAATTTTAAGTCATGTGAATAAAACAGAATTCTGCTATTGGTCAACATTTTCTGACGTCGACCATAAATGGTCAGACAGCAGTAGTCGTTTGCCATGTTCACAAAACAAAGAATCGTACATAATAACACATTATATTATGAGCAGTGATGGTTCGAGAAAATTTTAATATTAACTTCTATAAGTGGTAAGTACATTTATTATTGTTTTCTGAATAATTTACCTATAAATAACTAATTTAAATAACCTTAGTAGATTATTTTAATAAAAATAGTTATGGCCAACGATCGATTGTTGTGCCAAGTTCGATGATGTTTTTTGATTTAATTTAATAGATTTAGTTCTCCGACGTGCTCATTTATTATCCCAATCACTGTAAAGGTTATAGATATCCCCGTTTTATGGGTATGAGCAGTTCAATAGGTATTAATTTTAATTTCATACTTTTCAGGTGCAGTAAAACCAACTGAGACTGAGGAAGCTATCTGTTATTTATTACATACTATAATTAAGACTCTGTA